ATTTCATAGAAAGTGTGGAGAGGATAAATGTGTGTGTGTTCTTTGTTTTGCAGGTAATGGAAGAATACAATTAAAGACGAAGAAGAGCAGATCTCGTTACCATGTTTCGGTTATGAATGTTGCCACTGAGATCAACTCTATAGAACAAGTATGAAGTTCTTAACATTGAATTAGGGAAGGAACAAAAATGATAAAGTTTCAATCTTGGAATAGTTTGTGACTTAGAATCATTCATATGTTTGTTAGTTGGTAGAGAAGAATTACAATTTTGGCTAAGAATTTGGCTTTGTGGTTTTAGGGAAAGAAGATTGATTCGAAGGAAAGTGCGAGGCCGGTTTATCCGTTTGCTGCTATAGTTGGACAAGATGAGATGAAGCTATGCCTTTTGTTAAATGTGATTGACCCGAAGATAGGCGGTGTGATGATAATGGGAGATAGAGGAACCGGTAAATCAACAACGGTTAGATCGTTAGTTGATTTGCTTCCTGAGATCACTGTGGTTGCTGGTGATCCGTATAACTCAGACCCGAAAGATCCTGAGTTTATGGGTAAGGAAGTCAGAGAGAAAGTCCAAAAGGGAGAACAGTTGCCGGTTATTGAAACCAAAATCAACATGGTTGATCTTCCTTTAGGTGCTACGGAAGATAGAGTTTGCGGAACAATAGATATCGAAAAAGCTTTAACCGAAGGTGTTAAGGCGTTTGAGCCTGGACTATTAGCTAAAGCCAATAGAGGGATTCTATATGTCGACGAAGTTAATCTTTTGGATGATCATTTAGTTGATGTTCTTCTTGATTCGGCTGCTTCGGGTTGGAACACGGTTGAAAGAGAAGGGATTTCGATTTCTCATCCAGCTCGATTTATTCTCATTGGTTCAGGAAATCCAGAAGAAGGAGAGCTTAGACCCCAGCTTCTTGATCGGTTTGGGATGCACGCGCAAGTAGGGACGGTTAGAGACGCTGAGCTAAGAGTCAAGATTGTTGAAGAGAGAGCTCGTTTCGATAGTAGCCCAAAGGAGTTTCGAGAATCTTATCAAGCAGAACAATTGAAGCTCCAGGAGCAGATAACAACCGCAAGAAACAATCTTTCTCAAGTTCAGATCGATCAAGATTTGAAAGTGAAGATTTCAAAGGTCTGCGCTGAGCTGGACGTTGACGGATTAAGAGGAGACATTGTGACAAACAGAGCAGCAAGAGCACTCGCGGCACTCAAAGGAAGAGATCAAGTTACAGCAGAAGATGTTGGTATCGTCATACCGAATTGCTTGAGACACCGTCTTAGAAAAGATCCGCTTGAATCAATGGATTCGGGAATTCTTGTCACCGAGAAGTTTTACGAAGTTTTCAGCTAGAGTAAAGAAACTGATTCTTGAAACACATTTAACATGCTTTTTACACAGTAAAAGATCGATTTATTGAACAGACATGTTTCTTCTCCATTCATGTTTCAATCTGAACCAATTCAAGAATCAGTTGGGTTGTTTCCAGAATCTTGGCTTGAGTTCTTCAAACTCTGGAGATCTCTGATAAACAATAGAGGCAACTCTGATCAGAATACCAGCAGTGAGTGCCCATATCATAAAGTTTAAATCTTTATCTTCGGAATAGTAATCGAAGTAATGAAGAAGATATCTCTCTCCTTCATACTCTCGTTCCTCCGTTCGCCTGTTCTCGTCCTGCGTAAAACCAGACAGAGAGAGGCATTAAAGATCAAAACTTATTGGCAATTGAGTTCAACCGAAAACAGAGGATTAATTCAATTTAAATCACCTTGAGGAACATCTCTAATGGAACATCGAAGATGTCTTCTACTTCAGCTGGATTTCCTAACGGTTTATACGCTTTCTTGTCGAGTAAAAAACCGATAACTGGTACGACTGACATTCCTTTCTGCATACCAAGAACCCGATAAGGCGATAACAAATTTAGTATCTTGAAAGTTTGATATAAATGTTACCTTGTTAACAAATGGTTCAAGAACAGAAACAATTGTGACAAGAGAAGGATCTAAACCGATTTCTTCACGAGCTTCTCTCAACGCGGTAGCTACATCATCTGAATCTTCTTTGTCTCTCTTTCCTCCAGGCAATGCTACTTCCCCTGTTTTAAAACCATTTTCATACATTTTGATATTCAAAAAGATGAAAGCTTTTTTTGATGAAAAATGTATTGAGAGAGAGAGAGAATTTGGTTTTACCAGGATGAGAAGAGAGAGTAGAGGAACGTTTGGTTAAGATTACGCGTAGTTCGATTTTGTCTTGTCTTTGTTCTTGGTACAGACAAACCAAAACAGCTGAAGATTTTGCAGGAAAATGTTGAAGATGAGGTTTGTTGTAATTCTGAAACTGTTGGATCAGATACTGCAATTTTTGGGAAGAATCTGTTGTTGTTGAAGACATGTTGGAAACAGAGACTTGAACTATTCTTCTTCTCCTTGTTATTCAGATCTGAATAAAGCGACTGAAATTGTTGGTTTATTTGGCTAATGGGCTGGTCCGACCAAAGAAGAAGAAAAAAAAACTAGATTAAAGT